CAGAAAATATTTTTTGTATCGATGATGGAAGTATTTTCATAGGTAGCGACTGAGTCACTTTAATAGTTGATCGACTACTTTTGCTCATGGGTGGACAGAACATAACCGTGTTTTATGTCTGAATAGTTCAGTTGTGTATTCCGCTGCTTACGTAAAATTGTCACGCCATATTCTTGCAATATGCGCTTTGTCAAAGCCTGCTGAACTTAATTATCAAAGTTGTATTACGACCTCATCATTTGCAGCATTGGCTTCATTTGTATTGCACAAAGCAAGTTAACTAGCAAATGTGTTACATAGACAGTGAAAATCGGAATTCCAAGGTGGCTTTTAATTAAATTAAATAAGTCAGAGAATAGAACAATGGTAACAATTTTGTGACTAATATGTCATTGTAATGACATCAGAGAGTCAATAAAAGATATATATATATATACGATTATATTCTGTAATCGCAGTCTCAATTTTTCGCCGTTTTATTTCTACTCGTTCGTTTCTTAATTGATAAGGGGAGGCTAGGAGATAAAAAATTGAAAATAGAAAAATGTTAATGATTTCTAAATGATTGGTTGTCACAGAGTTAACGGAAATTGGTATGTGTAGATTTAGTACGAAACGTTTGAGACAACTTCTAATTATTAATTTTATTCTTTCTGTGGCCATAAAACTCCAAGTAATAAAGATCAAAATGGGCTTGTTTTTAATAATTTAGAGATTCATTCCTCATTACCGTCATTTTTAGGTATGAACGTGAGGTCGATATTTGAGAGAAAACACATATAGAGGCGAACAATAATGAGAAACAGGCTGGGGTAACCTTGTCTTTGCACTTTTTTGCCTGTCAAATTCCATGCTATGCAACAGTTAAAACTTAGTTTCATAATAATCTCATTTATAAGTTAACTGGTAATGATTTAAATAGTTGACATCTCCATTTCATTTCACTTGTAAATCGATTGTTTTTATTACGACGGGCAGTTGTTCCATGATAAGCGGCCATAAAATGTAAAGGTATTTAGCGTATTCAAGTAAAGATGTCTCAGTCGCATAAACATTGCCTAGCTACTTTAAATATACTAGAAATGGTCTATCAATAGATGTCTCTCTATGACACGAGTAAGTCGCAGTTGAATTCAAGTACAAATAGCATAATCGCTCGCATATTTGGCCCATCTGAGAGGATGTATGCACACGCGGTAGTATCTCTTCGGGACGTATCGAAACCACTCCGTCCCGAAAAACCGTTAATTTGAATTTAAAACCTACCCCGGTGTTTGAAAATCAAGGATTGTGAGTCTCACACTTCACCGTTTTTCTTCAAACTTGTTCCGTACAAAGCTTCACAGAAATACCTTTCAGTCGATACATTGTTTTCGTGTACAAAGTACCTCGTTTTAGCGGCGTTTTGGTCCCCAGCTGCGAGGTAAAGCAAATTTTCATAACTTTCAACTGTAAGTCACGTTATCTCGCCAGTCTTTTACCCATTCTCGCTCATAATTTCAGAATGGACTCCCATTACAACCTTCCATCGCTACGTTTTGATTTTTGGGCATCAAAAGCAGCAGTTTCTAAATCATCCACACATCTCTTAAAATTTGACTAATACGTCCCGTCACCTTCCACTACGCCCCGCCGAGTCTATAACTACAAACGTGGAGTTGTATTCTAAAACAATTTGTTCATCGTTGTGTAATTTTACATTAGGTTTGGCTTGGTCGATTCTTAACACCAGTCTTAAGTTTAGCGCACATACGGAGTATAACTATAACTGATTGCATGAAATTGATAAATGTTTGTGAAGATGTTGCTTTTTAACTTTAATTATATGTAATTGTCCTGTATTTGATTTTGTGAGGAAACCAAGTGTCTGGTTTGAAACACAATAAAATCTGGAATCTTGTTTTGCTAATGTTCAACATAAATAATTTATAAATTATCGGCCGAGGGCAGATTAGAGCGGATCAATCAATGATGTACAAAAAGTAACATGTAAAAGAAAAAACGCTATACTATTGTGATGACTATTGCTCTCGACAGAAAGCTTCAATTTTCATTGCATCATTTTTGACAAATATGCCGTTTTCATAAATGGTTTATAACTCAAAATTAAACTGTTGTATTTCAGGAATATGTATTTTTTCTTCATCATGTATGATTTTCAATAACCCTACAGGCACCACTTTTTTTAGCTAAATCCATCGGGAAACTTTGCCACGCTTAATTTCAAAATAACGGAGATGTTGAGCAATATTGGCACAAAAACGTTTCTAGATTCATATAAAGAATGCATCATCATACAACACTAATTGGTATATAAACAACATCTACTGACTTGGTCTGATAATATTTATAAAGATTTTAACTGTTGTGTGTCAACCTTTCTTCTGTATGATTCCATTGGATTACATTATGAAACGTGTACCATATAAAATGATACATGTTTCTAACGTTATGCTGAAAATAATATAATTGACATCACCCATCCTTTCGCATTTAACATTTTTTCAAGGATAGGGCACTTTAAACGTTTCTTAAAAATATTTTCAATTGTTCAGTAATTAAAATCTTTATATTGCAATATCGGGAAATCTAATTTTTAGGGAGATTTTGGACCACCCTATTATAGGTATATTGAAAATGGACAAGAATGGGTAAATCTTAAAACACAATCCGATTGGTATTTAGAATCGACAATGGCAACCTACAAACGGACACATCGATGGACAAATTGTTTTAGAATGCAACTCTACGTGTATAGTGATAGACTCGGCGGGGCGTAGTGGAAGATGACGGGACGTATTGGTCAAATTTGAAGAGATGTGTGGATGATTTAGAAACTGTTGCGTTTGATGCCCAAAAATCAAGACGTAGCGATGGAAGGTTGTAATGGGAGTCCATTCTGAAATAATGGGCGAGAATGGGTAAAAGACTGGCGAGATAACTTGACTTACAGTTGAAAGTTATGAAAATTTGCTTTATCTCACAGCTGGGGACCAAAACGCCGCTAAAAAGAGGTACTTTGTACACGAAAACAATGTATCGACTGAAAGGTATTTCTGTGAAGCTTTGTACGGAACAAGTTTGAAGAAAAACGGTGAAGTGTGAGACTCACAATCCTTGATTTTCAAACACTGGGGTAGGTTTTAAATTCAAATTAACGGTTTTTCGGGACGGAGTGGTTTCGATACGTCCCGAAGAGATACTACCGCGTGATGCAACCATGGGTGATCAGGAATACCTTCTCGAGAATTTTTTTTGAGGATAGGTTTTCTGGCCATATACAGTATCTGATCATCTAGTATTTGTTTTATTATACCTTGATCAATCATTTTTAGAACTTTTGATTTTCCTAAATTTCGGACTTCTATACACCGAACGAAAAGGCATTTACCGGGAAATTTTCATTCAATTATAGCGTTTCTGTTGTATTGCACATAGTTCTGACTAATAAAGTTTTAAATGATTAGATACACATTTTCTTTTGGTTGACACATCAGTAATACGTGTATATATGTATCTATTTCAAATAATACTCAAGTTATAGTGAAATGAAATTCTTAGTGGGATTCTTTAAAAAGTTACTCCAAAGCGTATTTTGATGGGCTGCGTGTATGGTTAATGCTATAACATAAAAAATGATAACCATGAACTCTGAGTATTCGCAGAATGTAGCTTAACATGGATATCACTCTCCAAAAGGGAGTATCTGGACAAGTTAATCGATTCATCAATTTTGACCCCTTGGTAACAAAGCAAACTTGAATTTGTTTTTGGGTTAGCTACACAGAAATTGTATGCCAAACGTTCAGAAACCTCCGACAGAATTAGTTTCTGTTCGGTGCAAAAATAGTGCAAGTCCAAGTGCAAGATATTGATTAACTTCTAGAATAAACCAACAATTTACTTAACATGACATTAGTAATCAAATATGTATTTACATTTAGACTGGTACAAATAATAAATATCTAAATATTGTATAATGAATATGTACAAATATACAGTAAATTTGCAGAATTAACAATTGCAAAACAACTAATGCATTTGATAAACAAAATACAACTACAATGCGTAGAGCATGGTTTTGTGCTACAAACGATTATCAATAATGCCTATTTGGGTACACGTTCGATCGAGCGTGAAACAACATGATCGTGTACCCAAAAAGGTACAAAATATATTCATTACGTTTGATAACATTACTTGAGAGAGAGATTACATGATATAGGCGCCTCATAACACATGTTCATATCTTAAGATTACGGCTCAATCATAACTGTTGGCTAGTATGAAGCCTTTTTCGCCTATACTGTGTTTAAAAAAATTTCATAGTACAGCTTCGTTGTCTGTGCTGGCTGATTTAAGTAAAAAAAAGTACGCTATCGTCCAATTCCCAATCGAAGTGATGATGAAACACATAGAAATGGGCAACAACTTGAGGTAATGGTTCGAGATCCAATTTACATCATAAACACATATGATTGGCGTTCAGAGAATCGCCCTGATGCAGCCTTTACAATCGTGCCGTTCACTTCGCACTATCGTTAACATTTAATTATAGTAAACATTTAGTTTTCTATAAAAAAGCATCAAAGAGAGACATTTTCAACTAGTAATATGAAATGAGAGACAATGATTAATTGGGAGAGGTAAACTGAAACAAATCTGATAGAAGAATGTTTCAAATGAAAAGATTTGACATTGTCGATTCAATTTTAACGTCACTGGACCTGACATCTCGTTTGTCAATGTCAAAGCGGCAGACCACAATTTAGAATGCTCGGTGTTTAAAATTAAGAGTGGCTATTGTCCGATATTTTTTGTTTTTCATATTTCTAACTTGTTTTTAAGAAATTAAAGGATCGGCGAAAGTTTCTCTGGACTTCAAAGTCAAGCGGACGGTCCATTTGGCATTAATCATGAAGAGAAGCTGTCCATCGCTCTATTAAATTAACGAACCATGAACGGTTTAATGTAACTTTATCGTTCAGGTTTGAAAACCTCAGTTTTAGACTGAAAATAAATAGATTTAATTTCTTGTTTAACTATGTACATGATTATGATTCTCTGTCCATCTTTCAGTATTGATATATTGTGCTAAATGCCTTTGTACTGTCGACATGGCTTCATACCAATGTGATTTAAATCAGGTCAATATATTGTTCAATAGATAATTCTATTTTCTAAGCTCTTAAATGTGATCGTTTATAAGATCACTTTTGTTGAATGCTGAATGAGTTGCGACACTTGGGTATCCACGGACAAATTCGTGTCTATCGACGGGTATTTTGAGTCCCCACTTAAATTATGTCCCGTTAAATGTTCGGTTTCATTTATCTGACGGTACACTTCCGGTTCTAAAATCTTCGTCGGTTGCTTAAGTCACGTGACATATTGTTTCACAAACACGTGTTCCTGATCCGTGATCTCGTGCAGATATCGCAGTTTACAGTACAACACCAGTGAAAGGTACAATTGCATCTCTCCCGAACTAAATAAGTCTCACTTGTGTGACCACGTCCACAGCACATTAGATCACACCCATCTACACCTATAGATGTGGCATTGCACTCTCTCCCTCGAGTCCCCCTCGAGTTCAAATAATTGTCAGCCTCGCAGAATGTAGGCGACTTCTCGTAATAAACTAAGTCTACCACTCCTGGTACCTTATGGTCCATATTCACGGGCACGAGATTATAACGAGAACTGCGTGACCTTGAACCCCGTCTGCTTCCAGAGTTACCTGAAAAATGCAATCAAATATATAAACACGAATCAAAAATGTTTTTCATTTCGGGTAATTTTAGATTCACGATCAAACAATTGCTAATTCCTCGGGCATTTTTTGAAGATCATATCTGTCGTGTTTTAATCCGTCATGGGATCGGTACTTTTGAATGTGACTATACACGCAACACGACATAATCATGAACGTGCATCCTGATTGATGAAACATATAGATAATGGAATGAAAACATGCATTTTGAACAATATATAACCAAGCAGTGTGGGATGTACGAAATAACTTGTATGAAAAAACGTAGGATCACGATGCATGGGTGTTTTAATAGAAATGATTGTGTTGCGCTACTTCGAGATGGCCCAACCCCGGGGGCCCAACTATTATTTTAGTCACTCACCTTGAAAAACTCTGGATGCTCCATCGAATCTGTCCTTCAGTTTGTGACTGACTACCCTGAATGGAGCCAATTTCTTCCAACACGTCTTCATCGTGCAACTCCCTGACATCCCGTGGCATTTGCATTCTTGTCTTAGTTCCTGGATGACCGTCTACAAAACATATATAAGCAAACGTAATTAATGGACGCAATTTTGTATAGTACATTATGGTTAATCTGAATCATAGGATTAAATGCTATGCTAAGAACCGATGTGAAAAAGTCATTCCCACCCCGATGGGAATCGAACCCACAACCTCCCGATTGCATGTCAGAAGAAGAACTGGTAAGAGAACATCAGTTTAATGAAATATTTGCTGTTTATCAAATAATTATTATACAATTGTTATATATTGTATGTTATGTACTCTTCAGCAGCAAACTAAATTGTTTTGAAGCATAGTATGATTTAAAATAACTCAAATATGAATTTGGGAAAATATGGTGCATATCTAAGGAAAGAAATCTTAAAGCAATTTATCAAAAAAGTTCAAAAGATGTTAATGTTCGATTCCTCTCAACTTGATCAATCAGTTTGATAATCGCATAGATCTGCTTGACAAAAATGATTAGAGAAATATCGCGTGGAAAATATTGATATAAGAAAATAATAATACAGACAGTTAAACAGTATCTCTTACGCGTCAAAGGCAAGATGAAAGTGAGAGGTTCCAGCGTGAGTTAAGATAAATTGAAAATGTTCAAACTAATAGCTTCAGTTTAAGGATCCTGTCTGGTATGAGAATAACTATATTGGCGTAAGAAAATAATAGTCTTATGAGTCATGGAAATATTACTTTATTCAGTTGAGGCGTACTTAAGTTAAAAATAAGATAAATGCAGTTAACTATAACCCATAAGAAATGAATGAAAGAATTAAAAGCCAAAAATAAATTGATGTAAACGCAGGGGTCGTATCAAAGTTTCGCATTTTAAACCTCAGTTTGTGAAACGGGCTTTTTGGAAGTGCAATTTTTTGTTAAAAGACCTATAAAAGAAATCCGTATATTTCTACTTTTTTTATTCAGGGAAATTGACTTTAATCATCCAGCCACACTCGCTATCGTTAACATATAGAACTGTAAAGCGAAATACTAGTATATGAGACGGCGCCTTAGTATTGTATCATACAGTACTTGTCTTTTTATATTTGTATTTCTTTTTCAACAGACTACAAAAGAAGCCTTTATAAGTTTAACTTAAGTTAGCCACCCAGGGAGGTAGGGTAAGCTGTTTGAAGCAACTTAGAGTCATGTCTCACTGTCACATGTAAAACATAATCCACTAGATAAAGTGTTAAATCAGCTCTCGTTCTGGAGTAACAGTAGAGCATAACTGACACTCAGTTCAACAGGTATAAAACCATTAAAAATATATTTATTCGTTTGTGACAAGAAATAAATATATTTAGTGAAAAGGATATACAGTTTGGCCTTAACCACACATAACTTTAAAATCATTATTTCGAGTGCTAATGTCGACAGTTATCCCTGTGTTTTATGGGCGCACTACAATAACGATGACTTAGGAATGAAAAATTGCGCAGGTAGCTACAATATTCACTATTTGACACTTGTTTACTTAGCTGTTGATGATAAAACATAAGGGGCGACCCTCAAAAATTTCCTGATGTTGTATATGTTCTAGTGAGCATTTCCATCCTGTTTTTGTCCAGAATTGAAGTCTAATATTGACCTAATATGCATTTTTTAAACTATAGAGATAAATAGATAAACATTCAGAAAACAATGGTGTTTTAGATTTCATGTAAGAAATGCTTAACCGGATCGTTTTTTGTAATAAGTGTCCACGTTTCACATTTAAAATCAAATTAGTCAATAGGAGGTGTATGACGTATTTATTTTAACTTTAAATACCTTCAAAAGTAGGAAAAGAGAAAGTTTGCGTCACTGAACCAATGCTGAATAGTAACAGGTTTATAACACGGAAATCTGCACTTTAACTCCTATTGGTTTCGAACTATTGTGTTTGGAGTGCCTATATGCATGAATCAAACAATTAAAGCATTCCTTAGCTCCATATGAGCCATATCGCATTTGGAGCCTTATTACGACCGTTCCTTTATAATCGGACATTAGTATTGTTGTCGATGAGCTCGTTAACAGTCTTTTTATTTCAGAGATAATGTGCCATCAATTAGTAAATGGTTTCTCGAGTACATGTGAAAAGTTTCGGTAAATCACCAAAAAGTAGTTCCATATGAATTATCGTGTGTGCCTTATTGGGTGTATATACCACCCATAGTCTGGGTGGTGAGTTACTGGAAACATATCTTAATTATAGTCTTTTATACGCCATGCGACAATACCACCCGCCCCTGAAATCCTAAACGTCGCCAGGTATGATAAAATGTGAAAATACTAAAAAAAGATACGACGAATATATCACAAACTAAATTGTAATAACATGTTTAAATAAGGTTCTGTCAAGTAGTCTGTTTTTCTTAGCTCTTAACCTCTGGCTCCTGTTGATTATATGAGTCTAGCACCTCACGAGTTGAATATATAACAGATTATAATATTTGTAGGATAGATTTAACAACTTAACTTATTTTCAATGAATTAAGAACAATTTTAAGAAAACTGAGAAATCAAAACGCCCCTTGGTATTTTCCGGGGGTATTTTACGCTGTTCCAAGGAGTGATGATAACTTTTTTAATTGATCACATTATTTTGGCTATATATCACATAGGTTGTCTTTGATGCATTCTATTAAAATTTGAACAAGGACAAGAGAAATACATTTAACATTCCATAAATCTCTTAAGAAAACTTTGGACGATGGTGAATAAAGTGAAATTCAATTTAATGAACAATTACTGCCTATGCCTAAGGGAATACAGGAGTGGTATCAAAGGATCCTCATAACACCCGTTAATTATCTATTGATATTAATTGTGATTTATATGTTTGGGGGTCGAGCTAAAATGTCTCATTTCGTACTTCAGTACTTGCAGATCAAAGAACCTAAACAATATCTTTACAAATTTTGTTTTGTATTATTTTCTTTTTCAAACATTTTTTATTAAGATTGTAGTCGTTCAATAATCACTGATGTTAGTGAAAACTATGATTTATTTATTATTTTCCCATTGCACTGTTCTAGCGGTGCCCAAAGTCAACTATTTCGACATTAACTGTATGCAAATTATTTTGAGTGGGTCATTCTGGATGGAGTGATGGTAATTCAGTTTTTATGCAACAGATGTCAAGAGATATTGAAATTCGTATTCTGCAAATTCATAGCTTTTTATATCTGAAACGCTGTTTTTATATTCCCATAACTCCAAATATACAGTATCTCTGGATAGAACGAATACTGACGGTGGTCCAAATCTGCCCTAGGCAAGTCATAAGCGACAATGACCAAGAACGGTAAATTCCTTTGAAATGACCACGCCCCGAACACCAAACATCTCCTCAAAGGATAAGCAAATTAGATATTAGAATATCAACATAAAACTCAAATAAATTATTCCCAACTTCTAATTGTTTCACACGCGCCAACGAATAATAGAGCACTAACTGGTAATTATTTCAAAATGCCCATCGGCACTTTATTAATAGAATATTCTCTTTAGTAGGAAGTGTTGGTAATCGTAACTATGGACACACTGAATGAATGTATAAATTATAGAGGTATAACTCCGAAGAATTTTCGATTGAGCGGACTATAGGCCAACCATGTTCACTCCGTAAATTTGATATTATCGAAGAGTTTCGGGCAAGATTGTATTTTGTACTATTCTTACAGTATTTGAACATTTACTTACCGTTCTTCCTGCCTCGTTGTTATGGAGATTCATCATACACCTTAAATCTCGCCCTTTCTCGACAACATCGATAAAATCTTGCGAGAAATCATAGCCAAAGTCTGCGTTGTCGCTACAGCCTCCCCATTCCCAGTTTTGGCCTCCTATGGTGTTTTGAGGGGTGTAATCACAGCTGCAGGTGTATACGCTGCCGTCGCTGCAAGACTGTGCTACTGTATGCGATATAGCTGCACTGGTGATGGCATAGATAAACGCTGTCTCTCGGCATCCTGGAAGGTCAAGGTCAAATTTAAAACAAATTAAAAAAACAGTTGTCATAAATGGAAACTTACCTATTTTGACTTGTGATTAAGGCCAAGTCTAACAGTGAATATTAGGCCTCTTGAATAATACCTTGTGTATGTATTGGGCCTCAATTGTCATTAGGCCATGTTAATATTCGGCATATATATTTGGCACATATAGTGGAGGTTAGCATATGAATCGTTTAGCAAATATTACCCGGCCTAGTTAGTTTTGTATTTGACTTAAATTGGGCCAAGTCGGTACTGGGCCAAGTAAATGGTTGGTATTGTAAATTAAGGACCTAGTTTATCCGTGGCCTCGAAATTGTTGCAATACCATGTTTGGCCTTATCGTAAATGAAACCCCCCACACTTAGCTATACATGATCTCACGGGAAGTCCTTGGCAACACACAATTAACCTAAGTCTGTAAGTGTTATTTTAGTGAATTTAAAAAACATTTTTCCTTTGTGCATGTATTTACGAGTTAACTTGGTTACTGCTTTTATTGGGATTTTACTAGATGTCATATTGTGGTTTATCCCGATTTTAAATATTGCGTGGCGTGGATTAACTTTGAAATTTCTCACGCTATATTTGAAAAAGACACCGACATCCAAACCAACCATTGACAAAAAAATATTGCTAAAATACTAGGTACCGCAACCCTATGTGAATAACCCTGCGAGCTTAGGAGTATAATCACGGCATTATAGTTGAAAATAATGAGAAAAATACAAACTGTTTGGATAATAACATATCATCAGATGTAAAGAAATATCTGTTTTATAAGAATATTCGTATGTTTAGCCCTCGGGTGTTGAGGATACTGAAAGTGGTAGTGAAATCAATTAGTAGATTTTCACTTGTTTATGACTTTTCACCTCAATTGCAAAACTCTTCCAAATAAATACCCAAATAGTTGTAAATATCATCGTTTTCTCTCTGATACGGATAGGCGCATTAGTTATTATAACATTTTTACCATGCTTGGTGTGTACTTCACGCGTCGATCTGCAATGTTTTTATATGTAATATCAGGTTTGGAGAGGAAAGTGACAGAGGATAATGACAATGTTTGAACGGGGATGCGTTGCGACTTGACTAAGATAAATAGAATCTTTTATAGTGCACCGGGGTGTAAACTCTCCAAACTATGCGACTCAACTTGTCGTTATACTACCAACTGTTTAATCTTTTACTTTCTCTCTCTAATGCTTAAATGATGATATATCATGACCAAACGGTGGCTTTTCATTCAGCATGCATGTTAGAATAAAGCAACCTTTTGTGAAAGAATCACATCCATCAAAGAGGTAGCTCTATGTTAAATTGTTTTGTAAAAATAAGAGAAAAACATTAAATAAAAAGGTGTAATGAAACGGAGTCTATAGTTTGTAAAGTTTATCAAATCGTAACGAGCAGGTTATCGGGCACTTGACTCAAACCGACACATTAAAAAGAACTCCCCTGGAAACGTTAAGGTCAATAGTGGCCATTTCAAAGACAGAGATAGATTTTTAATGTGAAGAATAAAAGGGAAATGATGAAGTCACATTAAAATGAAAAGGGAACTGGAAAAGTGATGTCAAAGTGACAAACGACCATCTCCAATAGAATATTCATCTCGATTCCCGGACCTCTTGCATAAATGATGCTTTATAAAAGCATGTTGGCCATTGAATGTTGTGCAACTTTGTACGTTTTCTGGTACACACATAATCTTGCTTTGGTGATTCTTCGGTCCCCACGCCTTAAATCTATTTCCCTATCGAGATATCTAAAAAACTAGGGGTTGTCTACTCTAGAGTGACCAGGTAAAAATGATTAACATTTCGAGGCTTCACCATTTATTCTTCTACAAGTAGCGTTCCTACAAGTGCCGTGCCGTTTGTGCCTCTTTGCTTTCAGGTTTTCTGTATCTATAAAGTGCTAAAATAAGGAGCTTCCAGGAAAACTTACCATCATATAATATTTTGCCAAAAACGTTATCTTCTTTGTCATCGGTTGGACAATTCCAGCGACGATTTTTGAACTGGTAAGCGCATTCATCGATGGCGACTTTGGCTCCCTTTGCCACTGCTAAAATGGTTCCCGGGTTCTTGGTGACTAGTCTGCGCTGCTTGCGCGTGAGGGGCTGAAGACTGGGGTTTATGTACATGGGTGCGGACGGGTTGAGAACACTATTAGTGTGGACCTTTGCTGGTAGGAGACCTGTAAGACCCAAGCTCCTGAAAACAGAATGGAATATAACATTAATTCAAAGATTTTACAAATAATAAAGAATTTGCCCGTGTCTTTGAACATTTAGAGATGTATTTTTATTTCTTCCTGCTATACGGAATATAATTATCAATTCAAAGATTTTACAAATAATAAAGAATTTGCTTGTGGCTTTGAAGATTTAGAGATTTATTTTTACTTCTTCCTGCTTTACGGAATATTAATATTAATTCAAAGATTTTACAAATAATATATGGAAATACACTTCGAGCAATTTGACTTCTAGAGTTGTCTTTTAAAATACCTAATATGCCGATGTATCTCAATAATGTGTCGGATTTCAATTCATAAGCTTGAATTGCATTTTGATCGGACAAATCTAATATTTAACGTTTCATCATGTGTGTGTTCTTAATGATTTATTTATTCAATTAATGATTGGTTAAATTATTGTTTCATTTATTAATTTGGTATATTATTTGATGAAATATCTTTATATATACATGACATTATGGTAGTTGTACATTTAATGTCCTGTTTTTCGTATCAAATGTTATTGCTCTCAACTGTTGCTCATTGCGTTTTCTTTAACAATTTGAATAAATGAAATAATTTTTCATAATACAAAAGATATGTCATAATTAGAATAATGATTTCCTTATTTTTGAAAAATCTGCGTAGGAGACAACAAAAGAGTTTGACTTTGTTCTTCCTCCTATTTAGACCATTGAGAGATGCAATGACATCGTACACATTCCAAGAATCATGTTGGTTAATAATCGGAAATACAGCAATAATTATGTGGAGCTGATTTTGGTTTTCTCGTAACCTTTCTATCAATTTGTCTTGATGACACTACGTACGTTAAAATTCATATCCCCAGAAATGCAAGAATTCTGAAGTGATCCCTTTTGACAGTTGCTTATATGGGTATAGTTAAATGGGATTATATGTACGTTTGATTGTCACTGATTCACCATCCTTGGGCCATCTTCGACTTCCTAAAATATTCCAAGCCAGGAAAACTTTGGATAGATGTGACAAGGATGAATCATGAGTTTTAAAAAGTTACTGAATGCCCCCCCCCCCCCCCGTCCTCTTAACAAATACTGCCCCACTAGAAAGCTGAGAATTTGTATCTGACCAATGTCTGACCAAATAGCTATCTATCATGGACCATTGTTCCGTATGGCCCTTCAATTAGCATATGGCACATAACGACGAGTGGACAATCGTTTTGCCCATTATGATCCTTAATCGATCTGCTGTTACCACTTGGGTAATGACCACTTGATTCGACACTGTCTGGAAACACTATGGGAATTGTTCTTGACATGTCAATCCAGCGCCGGGGTACCAATAGGCTGACATTGAGTACACTGACCCTGTTCAAAGCGCATTGGGAATCGGTCCATGATCCAAGTGCCATTCCTTCTTTAATATCATAATTTCGATATTCCCCATGAGATTTGATTTTTCGAATGAATATACGAAAATGTATATATAATGCTAATTATAACGTATTATAATGCTCGAAAATAAAAGATTTAAAAAGATCTTGAAGCGAAATCTCTCATACTAAATTGGGATATCTATTGATTTGTATTGATGTTGTCTTAATGGACTATTTGTCTGTCGTGGTTTGAATATTTGTTTAATACATATTAATTAGATATGTTTTAAATACGTTATATTAAATTGTGAGCATAAATCTTTTATAACCTGAAATGAACTGAACTAAATCCGTATCGACCACTCTTTCCAAGAAAATAATATTTGAAAAGTATCTATCCTTGCCTACGGGTCAAGATAGAACTTGTTCTTATCTGAAGCAATCTGAGATAAGCCAAATAATCTCTGAATATTGGTACACTCCCCTCAAAAAGTTTGGCAAACCAACATCTCTTTTAGACCATATTAATGCCTGTTTATGTTTGGCAATTTTAGAAAATACATTTAGTTATTTTTGAGATGAGAAAAGTATGAAAACATAAACAGTTTTTTTACATTATATCTATCCATGGACCATATGGCCACACTTTTGAGGTGCGTGTAACATGTTTACCTTCAATTTAAAGCTACATTCTTGTGTTCGAGTCCTACACATTATAAACCAATTCAGTTATCAAAAGTATGTTCACTGAATTATTTTCAATTGTTGAAATATTGTGTTATTTAAACGCAGGTATTGATTGTTTGTTGAACTGTTTGTTTACTTGTTATAATTCAGGATTATCTTAAGATTAAAGAAATCATTTGAAAACAAATGTCTAAATCAGGTAAACAAGGAAAATATTTATATCACGTATCAGACAAAATGTGAACAATTGATAATCAGAATGGGAAGTGACTGAACCGCTTCCCTTCGATTTTCGGGGTGGAAAGCTCGAACTAATTGTTCGGTAATATTGAAAAATGTTATATTTCTTCCAAGTTCTTAATATTAATACCGACTTACTATGGCAAAGGCAAAGGGTTTCGACTCTCTTCATATAGACTCGCATAACTTGAAATAGGTCGACATGCAAAGCACCCACTCCAAAGATAATTGATCAACAATTTGCGCAGTTTGCATCTGCATAGACAGAGGAACATTTTATTCAATATTCTTTGAAAAGTTATTAAAAAATATAAATGTTGATGCATACGTTTTACACCAACGTCAATGAAAAATTCAAACGCCTCGTATTTCAAAGACTTTCAGGTAAGTTTACTTAACAACTTCTCGATGATATTTGAAGTAATATGTTAATAAAAAGAAAAAAAATTGACTCATTTTTATATTTTTCAACAAGTTTAGGAGTTGCTATTTTTATCGATACGATAGTTCCTGTCGGCAACTAAGGTATATTGTCCAACATTCAGCACAACGTACAAAAGATAGGCAAGAGTTTAGGGAAAACATCTGGCAACTCATCGGAATAATCCAAATCAAAGAAATAGCGAACATATTGGTCGGACGATGACAAAGCTTGGATTGAAATAAGATTTCAAGTTGTGTTTGTTGAACATCACAAGAGGAGTGAAGTTACAGACTTAAGATAGATGATTGAGAGCTAGATCTATGGCAAACATGCTGTTTGGTCTCAGAAATGTTTATGTATGGTTTACAAAATGTTTAGATCCTCGCAGCCATATTGGTAAATGTTCAAAGACTACAAAAGGCCCTGAAGTATCCAACACCATTTTTCTTGAGATATTAGTAGAAACTAAGATTTTGAGATTACAAATTTAGTCGACCTCCCAAACTGATATTTTTTTAAAAAACAGGCCTTAATTGTAAAATCGATTCTGGATTAGTATATAATAACGTATATGATTACATACATAGACAGGTGAAAATGTAAATTGAGCAGTATCGTAATCATAAAAGATTTCGAACTGTTGAAATGATATCATAAAAATTTCAACTTAAAATAAAACCTCAGTGAATGACTAAACTTACTATTATTAATATTTCTATTAATTTAAATTTCATTTATATAAATTTTAAAAGTTTTACTTACCACCATTTGATACCTCGTACACGATTTTTCTTGCCTTGTTGACTGTTAAAAGGTTGTGATAACAGTAAAAGAGCTATTAGTACAAAGTTAGTGATAAAGTTCATGTTAGGTTTTTTGTATAAAAAAATATATCATACAATATGAATATACTGAATCTACATATATGTATGTAGTTGTTTGTGTATTTTATTCACATGAAGTGCCTCTCGTCTCCTAGCCAGTGCATCCAACTGAATTTCATTTTATAATCCATCTCCATTTGTTTTTATATATCCATTTGTAGTCATTAATGATTCGAAATGTTTCACAAAGTCGTTAAATCACTAAATGTGGTGCAAACCCTGAAGAACGTTTTCATTTGGATGTTGCTGGATGTTGTTGAGCCCATTCGAGTGTGGAAAGTAAATTGTCAATTGCCCTTTCCGGTACCGGGGACCGATCATTTTGAGCACGGCGGGGATTTGGAAGTGTTGATATAATAGACTTAGTTGATTTTAATCTGTTAGAATATGTTAGACAGAGAGAATCCTGTTGAAAAATTAATCTTTTATTGAGTATCAGACTTAATAATACATCCAAAAGACAAATATTTTTAAATAGCGATTGTTTCTCATTCACGTTTCTAGAGTTTTGAGCTAGATCTATAGAATTCGCAAGAGGCTTTATTCATAATGGTAGGTCATAATTTAGATAGATCCCGGGGATGTACAGGGGGAATTTGACAGGTCCCCCTTCGGATGACCACCGTCGGTGATTCGCCATTCACACGGCATTGGTCATTGATGTGAATGTGGGATTGGAGTTATTTCAATTGTCCGAACCCCTGGGCTAGTAAACATACCGGTAAACAGGCTTTCAACACATGTAAACTCTAATTTAATTCGACAGGCCAAAATTAGTGAAAAACTGAAGAAGAATGGTGATTCTATTGAAACGTGGCGACAAAATATCTGGACGATAATACAATGATAGTTCAATGATTATGCAATGGTGAATGAATACCCAGTGAAGCTTGTAGATTGGTCAGCTATTTGCGCATCTGCAATCATATCAATTGTACGGTATATTTGATGACACATAAGATATGCAATGATCATGTTTGTTACCAGTTGTGAAAATAAAAAATATCTTAAACGAAATCAAGCGATTTGTTTCGATGGTAATCGTTCTTTCTTTTGAAGTTTAACTGTCATTATATGACCCTAGGCAGTAAAATGGTACTTTGGAATGCTTCCTTCAGAAATCTAGTGAACGCAAAATTGAAATGAATTTGTCCATTTTGGCCAATTGAGTCAATTTATGGAGATTTTATGTCAATCATTCATCTATTATAGACTGGCCACCTTTAAGTTATAAAATAATTATTTCTACTTATCCTTTGTAAATGAAGTCACAATATGTCAGTGTGAGTATCAGTAAGTGAAGCATTAATGTAATGACAATGAACTATGTCACTCAACCCTCATTTTGATGTTTGTATCATTCACGACACAGGCCATTACTATTGTCAGCATTTGTAAAATATCGTACATAAATGTATATAGGAATACAATAAACAATCCAATACAATTTTCCAGATTATTAAGAATCATGACATTTGTCATCTTTGGAATGTGATGTTGATGACATCACATTTTAAACACCTTTAAAATAAAATACATATATATTTGTGCTCTGAGGCTAAAATGAATTCTATGGACATTGTTGATTGAAAAGTTCAGTTATTCCAACCCAATACACTCCCCTTAAAAAGCTTGGTAACTCATATTCCTCATTTGATAGCATGTTAAAATCATGTTAAGTACCATTTGATTTTTTCCTCAATGACAATGCTTGGACCAATTATGAATTTTTGAAAATCGCCAAACAGGGACACATGGTACAATTGGGCAATCGGGTGAGAGTGTATCTCGAAAAGTCGACATCGAAGTAGATTTAACACATGGTCCATTTGGGCAATCGGGTGGGAGTGTATCTTGTAAAGTCGACACTGAAGTACACATGGTCCAATGGACAAGATGCAAGTAGAAATAATCTTGATTTACGTCATCGAAAATTCAAAATTCAAGCAAAGTGATGTCATATTTGGAATCTACATGTAAAATTACATCTAGAAATGTGGTTTTGAAAAGAGTTCATCAACTTTGAAAATTTGATTTTCTTTGGAAATGTGATTTCTAAGTCGGGAGATTACCCATTAACATGTTGGAAAATTACAAAAAGTGAAATATATTTTCTTGTGTTGGGCAGATAATCTATGTTAAGTTTTGTAGAGTTGAGATCTAAGAAGTAAACAGAGCCTTGATTTTTGCCATAAACATACGGGAAAAGAAAACTTGACGACGTACATGTTGTTTTGTACCTGGAACTAAGCATTTTCCTCTTTCAAATAAATGCAGAATAACATGTAGCGAACTATGTTTACCAAATATTGTCTCAATGTTTAGAAAATTTAAACCTGGCTCAAATGGATCATTGTCATTACAATGTTCTAAAATCCTATAGATTTATAGTTTATTCAGGACATACTAATTTTCATATTAATGTATTGTTTTTTCTAGAAATGAGGAAACTTACGTACCCAAATTCTCAGAGGCATTCTACACAATTCTACAATATAATATTAGTACATTCTGATACTGATAGCATCTTTCTGTTTTACCTGAAACATGCTCTGATATTATGAGGCATATTCTGTGATCTGAGCACATCAGATGGGAAGAGTTATAACTGTCAATAAGTGTGATAGAGGAATTTTAATAGAATTTGATATTTTGAAGGGACAAAATGTAATTTAGGGCTTTGGACCATATTTCAGATGTCTCAGTGTCAAAGGATTCCTCTCGCATTATTCAAATTCTGCTCATTTAATTAATGTTGTATTGAGTACATTTCTATAAGTTATCAACTTCCGCCTTCTTTCCCTCCTTTCCAATTACTTTGGGTTTTAGAAGTTAAAATAAAAAACAGATCGTCAATTGATTTGATGATTCAAAATTGAATGGGGTTCTATGGTGGTACCAAACACGCTGTCAATTTGGCACTTTTGGTTAAACGCAACATGATCCATGGCTAAAAAGTCAATCAGTTTGGCTTAACAAGTATAAAATATCGCTTTATTTAATTAAATTAATCAATTAACTTGTCGTAGTGGTAAAGCTATGATTAAAATGGTCAAATGGGGAGGCTCGGGGCGAAACGTGGCCCGCTTTGTGGCCAGAAGGCAACCGTTACACCCCATACCCCCGAATAAAAGGACTCATCAATAACCCAACTCCGGTTCAGGGACTTACAAATTGATCAACTCTAATGTTTGTTAATTTAGGATACCGGCTTCTTTTAATTAGAGGTGTGGGTATGATCGAGATAAAGAACTCGAATAATAAAAATGATATCCTATTGAAACGATGCAGTTTAAAACCGAGTGGTGGTCCCGAATGGCTCTCAAAACCACGTCATGGAAGAGAAAGTCGACGGGATTCGGAACTATTTGTGAAAAATTCGTATTTCTTTTTATGTGTCTTAATTGCTGGTGGTAGTCCTTTCATTTGTGACCTTTTACTCGAAACATACTCTGAGCCCACGACGAGAGTGAAATTAAAGTGATACGTCTTCTACACACAATACAATAGTCCTTCAAAGCTCACCGTATAGAACCACTTATCTTTGATCAAATGCTGTTATTTTTTCGGTGACTTCTTTAAAAAGTGATAATGAGATATAATTATCCACCTATATAAACATTAATCATTTACTTATGTCTCAATAAAAGTAAGTTGGAGGGTATAAGTGGCTGTATCAGGTTCTCGAATCGGACCAAATTGTTTTGTAAATATGCAAGCATGTATGGGGGCATTTTGCATACTGTTATATGAGTTTCTATTCATTCAGTCATACGAAGTACCTTTTGATAAATATATTATTTATTTATTTATCTATTTATTCATTTAAGAAAGAATGCTTGATAGCTGTACAGGTTTTGATGAAAGAACAATAGATTAAAAAATCTAAATTCTTTGGAATACCTTGGCGGATCAAGATTGGCATTTTGGAAATGTAGAATAAATTTTAATTATTAAGCCGAACGATTTTGGATGCGCTTTTGGTATATTAGATATGTTATAATTGCTGATTCAGCTTTTTCAAATCCTGTATCCATCATCATGTATCTCCATCAGTACAAGAAGTATCATACTCCATCTTGGATTACCGAGGTATGAAATTTTGATTGAAAATCAAACTAGTAAGCGAATATGATTATAAAGAGTGGTTGCTCCATATCAAATTATTTTGTTAATAAGCTAGCATTAAAAAGCACTGGGACTTTATTTTCCGAAAGATCCTATTCCTAAACTTCAACAAGAAATTATTAAAATTATTAAATCTCAACAAAAACTGAAGTGAAATCTTTCAACGTATCTCATCCAGGTTGTTACGCGAGTGGTTCCTTGGCCCGGGTAACTGGATGGGTCCATCATACCCTTATTGATGGTAAGAATAACGTTTTTGGTCTCTTGAACACATTTAAGGTACATCGAGATATAAGTCAAATAAAGCAAATAACAAATAAAACATTCGTGTACATGCACGGTAAAACAAAATAATTAACAATCGAATTTTTACAATCACCAAGCACTAAGTAGCATAAAATGATTTCACATCAATTTTGTTTAACAACTCTTTGGTAATATTATGAACTTTTGTCAAATAATCACCAATTGTTTCATTAATTGTATCATCGTGCGCTAACAAGGAGTACAAAAATAGACCTCTTGTATTGAGATGATGAGAAAAACTATTGTTTATAGTATTTATTTTACTAAGATTGATATAAATATTTCACACCTCGGCAAAAAATACAAATGAAGAATATATGCTTTTATAGATGTCGGGATAGTTACAAACATTTACTCTTTTGCAAATACTTTGAGCGACATCTATCTATAAAACCGAATGCTAAATATATTTGATAATGGTATTTCCTACGAAACACTATTCTTATAAGAATGGTCATTTAAGTAACAAAATGGATGACTTAGCTATCCTGAATGGAGAGTTTTCCCATTCAATTAACGATCGATCCTTGAAAAATTCACATTTTACAGCGTTTAACAGACTGTACAGTTCACATCTTCTGGATCGCTAATTTAGAATTTACAGCCAGTTACTAATGTCAGACGTTAACAACATTTCGTCCAGTTTTCGAACATCGCCATTTTTCTTGGAGCCATTTTGTTTTAATTTTAGACGAAATCCTGATGAAATCATGTCATATCTCATCAAGGAGCCGAGCTGGGTCGGGTTTGATTTATGATTTATTTATCTGGCGATTTTTAAAATATTCAATAAAATGACACAACGGCTAGCTTTTTTCAAATAGAGTTCACAGTATTTCAGATGAAATCCCCTCTAGCCAAGTATTGGCTAGAGACTCGAGTAAACTTTTATAATACTTAGTAACAACAGTAAAATGAAATTGTATTCGTGAAATATAAATATTTATTTCTGAAAAACACAATGTGTCTACAAGCATTAACATACACGCGTACGTTAATTAAAATACATGTTTATAAATACAAATATCGGAGTATTTACAAGTATGTACAGAACGAAATATCCAAAATTCATCTTTGAATTATATTTTAATGGGAAATATAGTTTTATCTTCAGATAGATTTAATTTATCAAATGATTTACTGCCAACATTTGTACAAACTTTAAAACGATATATATTTTTATATATTAACACGTTTTCTACATTTCTACGTTTACGTGACTAAATGCATTGGTCAATCGCAAAATCCATTTGCGTTCTATAAATTGAACGTTTTTAGCTACGTTTTACGTACGTCTACGTTTAAATATATATATAAGTTAACGTCAGAAGCCATTTTAGGATTTGTACGTATCGGCATTCCCCATCTCGTTCTGGGCCCCATTCTATCAGCATACAGCTTTAATTATGTATATTAGAATACGATCATGAATATTCATCAGACGCATTCCTGCAAATATTTAATTTCATAATGTAATTCTTAACTCCACTCCGTATTCTGTCCAATCGGATGACGTCGGTCTTGTATCAAACAGGTGCCCTCCCCCAGCATGTCATCTCCATGAGGGGGTTATGGTTTATCTGTTTATTTCAATGGTAATGGCTTTCTGCACGATTAGAATGGAATATAACCAATTGAACTTGATTATATGGAATTAATACAATGGGTTGTTATATTCTCATCTAGTTCTACTCCATTTATACGATTGTACGGTTCAGCATGTGACAGCAATGATAACTTTGCGGGGGTGGTTCGGCCGTTATTATTTACACATATAAACCTCTTCAGTTGTTGTACATTGGTTACATTTAACGTGACAACACCATATGACGCGGCACTGACACGGTCTAGTGACTACCTTACTCTGTACATTATAGCCACGCCCACAACACATGACGTCACAATTGGTGCTTTTATTACACACTCGGGCTGAAGTTCCGGGGGAGTATTTAGTCCGTTTACAAAAACTAGGGGAGTTATCAACGAACACTAGATCAGAGTTTTTCTTCGCCGGGTTCGTGACAGGACTTTTTTTCCTTTTTCTAACGAGTTGCGTCTTTCCTGTAGCTTGATTCGTACTTGATAAAACTTTGTAAGCATTTTCGTATTTGTCTTTTAGAACGTTCCCTATCTCATGAAAAGGTGCGAGTTGACGCCAGCACGTCTTCACCGTGCATGTTGCTGACACACCGTGACATTTGCAAGTCGTTTTCATACGGTCTCTCACAATCTGAAAACAGATGGAAAGCAAACATTAGTGAATCATATATTACCAGTTCCTCAATGCTAATACTCGATAACGATTGGTCAAATGGTGGTCAATAGTTTTGACTGTAAGCTAGTCTATATCTTATCATATTATTTTGATATGTAGGTTATATAATCGTCACTATAATTATAGACACTGTCTCATTCGAGGTAGTAAATATGCAAGCAAAAGGTCAATTGACTCAATTTGACGAACAAACTGCCATAAACATGCCATGGTGTCGAGGTACACGTCACCTTCTAATTGAAATCAAAGGAACTTTCTCGAATAGTAACAGTTTGACTCTGAATCCAGTGCCCTCGTCCGGAGTCCAAATTGACAATACAAGTCCCAATCTAATTATTTTCGCATTTTTCAAAAAATTTGAACAACCCTACGATTAGAAATATAACTAGAAAAGCAAACAAGTTATGATTTTCTCTTTTAGAACTATTGAAATGTGACAATTATCTAAAACTCGAGTGACAAATATTGGGCTGTCGTAAAAATTCTGGAGTTGGTCTAGTGTTATCTCGATCTCTAAGTTCATATGCTAACAGTACACATCATTCTTAGTTCCCATAGTCAATAGTTCCTCTATTTAAGAATTTTAAGCATAGCAGAAATATTTCTCATTTTGACGTCCAGTTCCCTCTAAAATTTAATATCGGTTGTATGTCTCCCACCCATGAAGAACATTGACATTTGACAATGTGTTGTATTCCAATCTAGGCACAAATAAAATCAACTTCTAGGGAATGAGTGGTTATGTTTTAATATCTAAATATTAGGCAAAGAATAACACCTTGGATAACCAATGCATGATTGAAAACCTTTGTAGGCTAGTAAATGAAGAACTATGAACGTTTATTGCATTACTTTCGTTTGTGCTATACGTCACACAGTTTCTATGGGTCTTTAAATACGTGCATACGCATGGAAATGATATGTTCTTATTTCCCAAACATTTGTACCACGATCAAAAGGATAACCTGAGAATTTTATTAGCTCCAAATTAACAATTAAAGGTACTGTCCTCATATCTATTCGAAAACATGTTCTTTGATTTTGGGCACAAATCGAACATGCCACGAACGCTAATTATTCTCACTTTCCTTTTGAAGAAGTCTGCCCATCATGTTGTCTCGTGATCCTCTTATCATTCCAACAATATGACCACTAGCTCATCAAAGATCGCAATGACCGCTTAAACTGTTTTGAAATGTTTTCGAAATCTGTTTGCCATTTTGAATCTGTTTATTTTCAAATAATTTCGTGATATATTGGATGCATTCTCACACTATCAACAAATTGTATTCACGGCAAAATAATAGAAATTCAGATATAGGTAAATTGTTATGTAATACATAATTATAAATATACATGTATATACGTTGGCCTCCATTTATCTCTATCAATCAGGCGCAATAAAGAACTCAAGAGTCAGGTGTGGCTATCATGTTGCCACCCACCTTCAAACTTGTCTAGAACAGCATCAAAGTATCCCTGATAAGGCAACTGACTCAACCATCGTAGAATTAATTTACACTTCCGACTTCTTTATCGGATCCTAAACAAGGAATTCGAACGGCATTGGGTTAATGCTTGGGGTAATCACTGTGGGAAAGGCTTTGGAATCAGGGGTTCGTTTTTGGTATGATCGTAACTTACGATTCCGAGAAAACCGTATGTCTCTGTTTTGATGAACAATGACTTGCAACCAAATCGTAAGTTACGACGGTTTCAAAAACGGACCCCAGTGGCGTATCCAGGACTGATTTGTCAGGGGGTTCTAATATTTTCCTCCAACATTTTTTCGGAAACACCGAATTACTGTGAATTTGATGAAAACGCTGCAAAGCTAAATCTCTGCCAAATATGCCTAAATATTATATATTAGGGGAAAAGGCTTCGGAATATAGATCTTGCACGAGGGTTTTTTCAGTGTAAAGACATTTCTGAACTAACTTTCTTTCAAACCTAATTATTGTTGTATTTTAAAGTAGTCTGGTCAGGTTGGAATTGTTTTCACCACTAATTATTAAATTCAATTATGATTTAATTGTTATTACAACTGGAACCAGTATGATGCTCAAAGTATCACGCTTTTCCTACCCTATTATTAAGTGATCCATCGATTGAATCGATTAGTCTATACGATTTAAGGATTAACAATTTGTAAAACAAACTCATAAATACTGTTTAATGTGTGACTTCGTAACATTTAATTAGAAGTATATAACACAATCTGTACATACGCGTGGGGGGAATGTGTAGAACAGTGGCATTTGGATAGTCCGCAAAGTCAACATTGACAATTCGTCACCCAATTTCCGAACTTATACATAATCTAATTAATTGCTATGAATTTAAATGCAGAAACCCAGAAACAAAGATTAGCAGGAGGATTACAAATGTGAAACGGCATTCTCCAAGGCATGTGTGGTGTATTCTTGGGCCGGGGAAGAATGTCCTTGTGGACTACTGTCAAAACTATGGCAAGGAGAGTGAATGATAGGGACTACTTCTTGATCTTGGCTTGAAATGGAAAGCAGCCCATTGTCAGGAATCGTGCCTAGTGACCAATATTTTCACCACAACATCCTAGTTTTGTATGCTTGATCACCTGCGGATGAAGTTTACTCGACAAATCTAAATATTGAAGCATTGGTGAATCAATAGCCGTTTTAGTATACCTATTAGTTTATCCGTTTGACTTATTTAATTCATTATAAATGTGCTGAAAGTTTTGCACCAACACGATCTTAACGTCAAGTTTGTTGTTTGAAAATGTTCACTTTTTGAGGTAAGCCGTATCTGAATAAATTTAGCCTCAGATTCAGTGTTGATTTGACAAACAAATTCGATAAAAACCTTCACCGATAAATAGTTTTTAATATAAAAACAAATTTGACCAGATTGTTCTTAAAAATGTGGTTGCTAAATCTGTAATTTTTTAATGTTAACAATAATTTCGTTTATCAACAAATAGAAGTCAAAGTCAATCCCCGTAGATCCATTTGTAAATAATTTCACACAGGGGACCAGGTGTGCGTTTCGAAATTTCACATCATTCAGAATTTTTCAACTATTTGCTGAAATCATTTATGTACTTTTTAAACCGTTTATTGCAATTCTATCTTGTTATTTTGAAGATAAGTGCTATTTTATGTGAGGTAAAGTGAAAGAACTCTTTTTCGAATTGTTTTTAATTCACTAATGTTTCCAGTTGTTTGGGTCATAAACCGACGCGTGAGGGTATTGCGTTTTAACGGCATATACGAGGGTTGTCCCAGAAGTAATGCACTATATGCTCTAACTTTCTTTAATATTCTTCAATTCTGCTGAAATTTTGTGTATATAACAATTGAAGTTTTATCTATTATATCCTGAAGTTGCAGCATCCAACATTAATCTTAAGTCTTAATATGGTTGCTATAACAACATGGGGGTAGGGGTGGGCGGGGCAGGTACCAATTTTTCTAATTATGAAAAGATCTAAAGTGTTATTTTATTAATATTTCTTTCCTTTAAATGGTCAAAATGTTTGGGAAATTGTCAAATTTATTCAGCATGATGTTAACCAAGTACGAATAATGACATTTAGCACTGTGATGTCATAATACCACATTTCAATAGTCACAAATTCAAATACAGTCACAGTCAAGAAATTGCAAAAATGGCTGCAATTCTCACCTGATAACAGAAGGCCTTGCGTTTGGTGGCCTAATTTCATACTTCACTTGGACTCACAGCCACGCAAAACAATGCTACCATGAAGAAAGTATATAAGGAGTATATACCAGATAGAACTACAATTATGGGGTGGCAGAAGAGATTTAAAAGAGACGATTTGACCCTGTATGACAACTTCAAACATGGGAGGCAAAAACTCCACAAGTCACAGTGGAAGAAATTGCCGAGAGTGTTTAACCTGACAGGCATCAAAAGTACATAACATGCAAAGGACAATATTTTGAGAAATGTGAAATGGGACATTGTGCAATATACATCCATTAAATCTAGGATGTGCTCAAAGTGATTTAGTATCTTAAAATGTATTATTGAGCATACTTCTTATAGCTACACCAAATGGTATTTGTTGATTAATTATTTCATATTTTCAATTTTTTATTCCTTTTGATGTGACTGTATAACCTGCCCCGCCCTACCCAGACTCACCAACTTGATTTTATTATAACATCAATATAGTTTTATCAGTCAACATGAAAATTTCTAGAATAATCAAAATGTCTCTAAGGAACATTTACTGAAACTTTTATGGAAAAATATCAATTATTGATAAAGTTAGAGCATATAGTGCATTACTTCTGGGACAACCCTCGTATAGGCCAATATTAAATGAAAAGCTGAATGGCTAAATGAAAACAAAACCGATTAAAGTCAGAAGTAGAGCATTAGAGGAAATTACTTTATTTAAACTCCATGTAATATATGAATATGCCTTATTAAACAGCATTTTGATATGAAATAAATTCATTGTTTCGGTTGTTTCAAACATAAATCATGGGTTTTCCTAGGATTTCATCGTTCGACCTTAAGACTACTCATTGGCAGAGTACCTCCCCGTATTAAGCCACCCATTAACAGTAAAGCCACTCATTGACAGTGTATCTTCCCGTATTAAGCAGCCCATTGGCAAGAGTACCTACCCTATTAAGCCACGCATTGACAGTTAAGTTGCCCATTGGCAAGAGTATCTACCCATATAAGCTAACCATTTACAGTTAAGTTACCCATTGGCTAGGTTAACTACCCTATTAAGCCACCCATTGACAGTAAAGCCCCTCATTGGAAATTGGTTAGAGTACCTTCTCGTATTAAGTCACCCATTGGCTTAATTGAGTACCTATCCGTATTAAGCCATCAATTGATAGCCAAGCCACCCATTGGCTAGATATAATAAAGTACTTACCCTATTTAGCCATGCAAGGCAACAGTAGAGCACCTCATTGTTTAGAGTACCTACTCGTATTAAGCCACCCATTGGCTAAAGTACCCTCCCTATTAAGCCACCCATTAACAGTAAAGCCACCCATTGACAGTTAAGTTACCCATTGGCTAGAGTACCTCCCCTATTAAGCCATCCATTGGCAGTAAAGCCCCTCATTGGACATTGGTTAGAGAATATACGTATTCGTATTTAAATAACCATGGGCTGGAGTATTTACCCTATTAAGCCACACATTAACAGTAAATCACCTCATTGGTTATATATATAAAGCCCCTCATTGACTAGCTATTAAGTACCCATCCGAATTAAGCCATCCATTGACAGTAACGCCACTCGTTGACTTGGGTCAAGTATTAAGCTTCTCATTGACAGTTAAGCTACCCATTGACTATAGTACCTACCCGTATTCCAACATTGCTGTTGTGCCTGTCAACCTTCGCCTTCAGATCTTGGCCAGATCGCTTACTGGCTTTTAGAAAATGTCTACTGAATTTCTGTCCAAATTTTATATTATCACCGCATCCGCCCCATCGCCATGTTTCCTTATTTTTCTTTTCGTTGAAACTCTCATCACACGTGCACCGGTCTATCCTGCCCCGGCTACACGCCCGAGCGAACGCGTGTACTAACCCTGCTGATGTCACCCCATGCAGAAACGAGGTCTCCTTGAATCCTGAAATATATGTGAGAATTTTTACACATCGTTTCATATTTATTAAACTATTAGAGGATGCATTACAAATATCATGCATATAAATGATCAATCATAAAGTTTGACATTGTTTAAAAATCTCGTGACAAGAGAATCAACATCATTGACACTCCATTTCACCATGTCGGAAGATGATTTCAAAAAGTGGTCTCATTCAGTTTCGAAACACTGTAATAATATGATGTAATTTTATTGCTAGAAATTTTCATTGAAAGTCTCATTGAATAGTGGCAATCGGAAGTTTTATTTTTAGATACTAAGTCTATGCATAGATTAAGACAATTGGTTGTGTGTCTCCTCTTATAAGACCATGGTCCAATGCTTGAACATTGTACCTTCAGTGAGGTATACTTTTAAAAGGCGAAATGAATGTAACGCTTGGGTCAAAGCAAGGGGGGCAAAATAGTACACAATAAGACTCGGGTCCTAATCTAAGGTTCTAATTTTAGATATTTTTGATGATTAAAAAGACTTAAAACAAGAGAAGCCTATGCCAGGCTTGCAACTGACTTGACTAAGCTGACCCGAAATGGCCCTACGTTTTCTGTGTGCATGTCGGTCTGTTTTTCTGTTTACATCTGTAAGAATTCATTTCTTAAAATCTTGAATGGGCGAGTAAACACACAACTTTCGTTCGTTTATTGTTTATTTTACTCTTGTCTTTTAGTGTAATTACATTTATTTCATATTCCAACAATTACAACTGTTTTTAAAAAAGTTTATTGTCATTTGCCATTGTAAAAATGAGATAAATAAATTCGATAAGTGCGTCAAAAGTGCCAACATTGCTTGCGCATTCTTTCGTTTCTAGGTGCATCTCAGAAGTGAAAGTTTGACGTGCTGCAAAATGATCTTATAAGAGCGTCAGAGTGCCCACTCCAGATGTTAAGGGTTCCTAAGTAGTATAACATCGAAATAATGATATCTTGACCCCGGCGCTTCAGAAAGAGATATTATAATATAGGTAATTTACAACGTTGAATTGATTATTGACTATTGGTTTCATGTTTAGAATGATGTAGATCAAGCTCCTTTTACGATGAAAAACAACAACGGATTGATCATGCGCGTTTATGTTCAAGGCAATCGGCGAAGTGATCTCGACTAAATTCAAAGATGACAAATTCAAAATTTAGAGCAGTCGTCAAAATATTACTAAGTGTAACAGTGCTCATAAAGAACACGTGTAACCTTAAATTAAATAAATACAAATGAACAAATACGTATCCAAATTATAGAAACCGGTACAATATGTGTATCTTTGAAATAGACTAGCTACAATCCTGTTGCCCCCCCCCCCCCCCCTGCACAACTGAGAACTGAGATGTCTTCATACCCGTGTCGTCAAGTAGTGGGAGGGGTGGGTTACAAGGGCTTGTAGCTAGATCTTTAAAATAACAATTGCACATTCCTACAAAATACAGTCCAGAATCTAATTGATTCACCTGTAGTTATCAGTCTTCCGGTATTTACTCTTAACAGAGTCGAACCCACACCTCTTGAAGTTAAAACAATGCCCTGGAGACATATACAAAGATAATGTGTTCTAATCTAGAACAGATTCCTCCAGTTTAAGGAAGGAAAAATATTTATGTGTCTTGTTGTATTGTTTACATTCTCCTGAGCGGAAAACGTTGTATCTCTACCTATAGGGTTGTGTTTTGATGTCCAATGTTTTCATTTGGCACCGATTTGATTAGGAAAATATTTTCTTGGAATCAAATTAGAATTAAAGTAAATGCCAATTTCCAAACATTTCTAATGTACAGATATAAAGGTGTTGAATTGATAACTCATTATTTATTATGTTTATGTTATACTCTTTCAAAACAGTAGTTTAGGGAGCATTCGACTTTTTTTATCTGTTTGAAATGAGAAGTGAATAGTATCAATGAGCATAAAGAAAACGTCAGAAACATCAAATTATTGTGAACGTCGATCAGAAATAGCTAAAACCTGTTGATTCAGGAAGTTGATCATAAAACGCTGAATCATGAATATCGAAACAACGATCCGATTTTTTGCCGAAAGCCCTAATCGTAAAGGATGCGTGGTTATCAATAAAAACTGATACCAGAATCGAAAACACATTTTTGCTATCCAAAAGCAATCATTTTAGTTTCCATGGTAATAACCAAACAGAGATTCATTCATAGTTTCACCAGAATGCTGCGTTTGATACGTCAATAATGTTGTTTTTATGACGATCTGTTAATTAACATCGTGGAGTTTATATCTTCTTTTCAAAAACATCTAGTACTATTTCACATAATAGTACATCTTGAATCGATTTGAATAAATGAGAGGCTGTTCCAAAAAAATGGTGATGATGGACCCATATTATCTAATTGCGTCGTAATTAATGCATTAATGGGAAATAGTTCCGACCCTGCCGCTATTCATGGATAGATATTTAAGTTTGAGTTTTTGCTGAACTGAATTGCGAAAGATTCTTTGGCAAATTCAAACAGAATGCGCAATGTCCTGGATAAAAATCTTCAAAAATTCCTGGTTGGCAAGGTGATTGTAAGTGTGTGAATAAACAGAAAAGAAAGTATCCCAATTCAAAATTAAGAAAACATTGTAATTGAGAAAAAATAGGATGCGTATATATATGATTATCTATCCTATCCAAAAGTAAATGGTCTGGTAAGGGCCTGGCCAGGCGTAACTTTGCAAGCGCAGGAGGTATACGTATGACTGTTTTTCTGTACGTTCAACACTCTTGTTCACAAGGCTATGGATTTCGGATTATCTAGCACTATCAAACATCTGAGTTTTGTCTGCATCTTACTAATTAAAATCGTTGACGTACTTCTTTTTCATCGAGATAGCCCAAGTAAAAAATATACGCCAGAAAAATGATTAAAAAACAGGCACGGATATTTTGAAAAAATATAGAATACGATACTGTTCTCTGTTAGGTCAAACAAAGAAAGCATATGTAAATAAAGTGGGAACAAACCAAGGTTTCATATGGAGCAAGATTTCCTTCTTGTGGCGAGTTACCCATAAGAGAATCGACGGTTCAAACGCAATTCAACTGTTTTAGAAAGTGACAACGTGAATAGAAGTAACAATACCATTTGCATTCGTTTGGCTTTGCTTTTTAAAAGATTGCTTCATCTGTTAGTTAGAAACTTAACTCTGCGTGGTTGATTAATAGGCAATTCGTTTGTTCGGATGTTTGTGACTTATATTTATGCTTATTTGAACACGTTAAAAAGTGTTTTAAAAGGTTTTTTAAGCATTATTAACAAACACGAAGAGGTCAGAAATTTTTAAATCACATTATCTTAAAGGAATCTGTGATTTTACCGAACATCTTATTTAAAAAAATGTCATGGAAATTAATTTGGTTTGCTCTGTCTAAAATTAATAGAACAATATAAAGGCTTGCAATGTCATAATAGTCAATTTAAACCCTCCTCTGAAAGTAGAAATTGTCCCCATGGAAGTTAGTTTGAAGTATATATTTGGAGAAAGTCGAACGCTGCAAACTTATAAATAAATTAAATATTCATTGAATAAATAATATACTATTTGATATAATGTGGAACATTGCGTAGTCCTAAGAAAACACCATGTACAGTACTCCCATTGGAAAACGTACAAAAGTTTGCCGATATTTTCACAATAATTTCAAGGCTAGTTTACGACACTTAAGATAGTTGACGAAAATGAATAACAATGGTAATTATGATTCTTTTATAGTTCATTGGAAATTCTTGGGTGTGCCTTAAGGTAGAGTGAGTAGAATCATTTTCCAAATAAGCTTGCATACAGGTGTAGTCGTCCAACGAGACCCACCTTAAGAAGAGACTAATTGAGGCAGATTTTTCAAAATTTTTTACAATTTTACAATATTTTTCACTCACAGTGTCCATTGTTATTCTTAATTTCTGAAATAAACACAAGGGTTCTGTTTTTATGTTATTAAAATGTTTTGTTTTTAAGTTTTTACCTCTGATAAGGAAATGGCCCCCTTTTAAATTTTAAATTCGATATTAGTATACTATTCAAAATGTGGTTAGGTAGATGCTTAAAATATTGTTAAAATAAAATGCGTGAAAAGGGTATGATGGAAAAGATGGTTTGAAAATATTAACAAGATTTGATGTATAAAGCCAATTCAAAAATTTTATAAAACTTGATTCAAAAACTAAGATCTTCAAAATGTCTAAAAAATTCCCTTTGAGAAATAGTATTTGAATGGGAAAAACATATTTTCAGACTGTGCATGTAGATTTTAAGCTGTTCTGTTCTTCTGATATACGCTTGTAAGTACATTATTTCATATGTTTGTCTTTTATTGCAAAAAGGTGGACCACAAGACGAGCCTTTAAGACAGTAAAATCACAGTTTGTAAACATGGAATCGTTTAACAACTTATGAATTATGAAAACCAAATATTGTAAGTGTCAAATCAAAATGTTTTCCTTTTGTTTATCATAAGCTGTCTGACTGTTGTCTTAACTATTTGAAAAATACACTATTAAACTGAAGGAAGATTAAAATGGGGACATCTAGGTATAAAATATACACGCCAGGACAGAAATGCTGATAAGCTTTAAACATGCGTGTGGTTCCAATATGTAATTGTCATAGATGTTTTCGAAATGCTGAATGTGAAGATAGTTCATCGTTTTTGTTATGGTAGTACTATGGTATGTTTGGGAGCCAGTGGTATTTTTATTGTTTTCATTGTACCATTATTAATGCGGAGTTGTGTTTATGTTTATATGAATGAGTTCCAATAATTGTTTTGGCTTCTTTTTAGTCTTACATTTTTCATAGACGCTATTCTGCAAATACAATACAACGTTTCTCGAATCAAAATAAACCAATAAAAAATACTAATTGATTAATAGTGAATTAATTAATAAAATCATTAAATCATTTTTCTCTTACTATGACGTCATTATATTTATGTTGCTACAATTAATTTGGGTATTCTTAATTTTACGAGGTTTCTGTTATCTTCTCTTTGAATACCTTGGTATATGAATATTAGACCTGGGCTTTCCACTGGTAGAATTACTAGCCGGGCGTATATTTACTTCCTTACCTTTATAATGTTCATAGATACTAAGAGAAATGCATTTTATTCAAAATATGCAGACCCGTAGCCAGTGGGGGTTCGCAGAGTTCGGGCGGAACACCCCCCACCCCTGGCCAAAAATTCTTTCAAAATCATGCAGTTTTTCACCATTTTGAGCACTTCTCTAGTGATTTCAGCCATATTTGGGCCAAAATTGTGAAATGTGAACCCCCCTGGAAATTTTTGAAAACTGAACCCCCCTTGGCAAATCCTGGCTACGGGCCTAATATGTATATTTTGCTAGTGTCTGGTACTTTGTACGAGTATCCTATATATATAATATGCTTATTCAACATAACACTTATTCCACGTGCAAAAGTGAAAGCCAAGTTATGTTTGCTCAATATAATTTGAAACATAAGAAACATTTATTTGCTTGTAGAAAATCCCAACAACACAACTTAGCGCGATCTCTAGCACTTAGTGTCACGTTTAACAATGCAATTTATAATGCCCAGCAAGATAAAATAGAAAATAAAATGAGGAGATAAGTACAACACATGTGCATATGTCTTGTTACATACATATGTGTGTCAACTGTCCTTGAAATACTTGTGGTTGAGAATTGTGTATTCACAACCTTTTGATTGGGAAATTTTCTCTTTCATTTCGCTAATTTATTACGATAATCCTACACGTCTGGTAGAAAAACGAATTCACAGGTGACGAGAAAAAAATCTGTGTAATACATCTTCTTGATTAATTTGTTAATAATGATTGTATTCAAACGATGCGCCTTTATGTTGGAGAGGTGTTCACCACATTTAAAGAACTAGAACAAACAGAGCTCTTTGATCCCTTATGTTTTAATGTGATCGATATAATTAAGGATAATTTAGAAAAAACAAACTTGTGGTTTGTGGGGAGTTCTTATTTGTTCTTTTTCATCTATAAGTACTTCTCAAATAGCTATAGTGGATGAATTATAAATTAAAGGTGAGTTGCGAGTAACGTCTCCATCATGGACAGGGAAATCGTAATACTGAATTCTCTGGAAATCTTCCAATGCACTTTAACTGAAATACGTCTCCCCTAACAAATTATTTCTCGAATTGTATTGTATATTTTAATCGTAGGGGAAGCAAGAATGAATCTTTGTATCATGTCTCATTTTTATATCTCGGGTTTGATCACCAATCACGATAACTGTTGCTTATTTTTCATATTTGAAAAAATCTTAAAGCCAGTGGCGTGATTTTAAGTTCCTTATGGCCGAATGACTGTTTGTTTTGACCTGGAATCAGTTTACTCTGCAAATGACCGAAATAGGCCCAATAACTAATTGTTTCAAAATTGAAGTGTATCTGTTACACAGACTGGCACGTAAAAGAGGATACAAATGGAACGATACAAAATGATGAATGGTCAATTTATTGTTATGTAGATATGAAGATGATAATGTTATTGACACACAAGACCAATTTACTAGTTTGAATAAGATAATGTAACGGGTCTTTCAAGATTCTCAGGTAGGCTATACGCCACATAATAGTCTAATAGGGCATATAAATCAACGTTATCTCATTATGTAGGGCCTTACTGAAAGTCCAATACGGATTGGATACAGAGAAATAAATACTAATGTTAGTATCAGCCTCTGAGTTATGATTGTTAGGCACAAAATAAATAAATAAATAAATAAAATGTTTTGTTGTGGTTTAGTTTAGTAACATGACTGTTGAAAATTATGTTTTTATATCTTTGTTCTATTTATTTGATCAAATGTGTTTCATAAGTTTAAATTGTTTAATGATAGTGTCTTTATTTTCTTAGCTTAACCATGCGTTTCGGTTACAAAACTCCATTCATGTTAAACGGATGTTTTTTTGAAATATTCTATCTTTTATCGCTGATTTACTTTAATAATTTGACAGTCTCATCATCTCCCGTTTTGCAAGACTTGCAGTATTTGCAGAATGAAATGAGCAGCAAGAACCTAAACAGTAATTATTCGAGAGAAGAATTGTCTAACACATTGAAGTAATTAGCCCATTTAAGTTTAGGATGGTATGACATGTGGGGTCGGGTTTTTAGATCAGTTTATCAACATATTACCCAAAATACATAAACATAACTGGATGGCCTGATACAAAATTCACAAAATGCTTAAAATAATGTAGACTGAAATCTACGAGTTCAAATCAACAAATGTGAGAAGTAGGAACCCACAGGAAAAACATTCACCGGCTTGTTAATGACAAGTTCCACGTTGTTTTGGTTTTTCTGTTATAACAAAAGATAAAATCATTTTTGAAGAATCCACTAATTACATAACATTACAATGCAATTCAGTAGAATAAAACAATAAAATACATCAGAACACCAGGGGATTTTGATTTTTACAGTTTGTTGACGAGAATCTCAATTCACGGTAAATTGGGCTAAATAAAAAATGAATCCAATGACGTCCAATAAAATTTATAACTTTTAAAACTGACTTAAATGCTTCCATCTGGATAAAATTATACTTCCTTCTGACCTTTTTATTTTTTCAGAGGAACAAGATTGTGGGAAAAATTTTAACTCATTAATATATTTCATGAAAGCCCATGATTTCATTTAAAAAAAGTAAAAATAATTATTTTGTTGATAAGGCGTGGAAACGGGTCTGCTGCTCGAATTTGTCTCTGGCTTAGAATTAATCATAGGAAACAAGATATCTAAATCGAGACAATCCAGATTTTCATACGGGGTACGTATACAAAAGATAGCTAAGTTGCATTGTTTCCATCAGTGCATTCCGTCGTCATTCGAGTCAACTACAAAAAGGACGTCCGTGTCATTCTAATACATCTGTATATCTCGCGTCTTTCTTAGAACGGACATGCTATCTCTGTTTGAAATATTGCTATGAGTACGTTTGTGTGAATGTTCGCCAGTCTAAAAATATTATTTTTAGTGTGTTGATGTAGTCTTTGACAGAAAAGAAGCTTGGTGTTGTCAAGGATTAAAAATCGAAGATGAGTCAAAATGAAACCAATGTGGAAAACACGAGTATCTAATTAAAAGATTAATGGCTATCGTGTTCACTTGTTGCCCGAGCCTTTGGCTAATATATTCCTAATTGATCGGAAACAAACAGATACTAACAGCTGGAATAAACAACCTTACCTTTCTTCAATAGGTTCATTCTAAACTGTCCCATAGTACAATTCCAACGTTCGTAACTAAATTGACTATGGCATTCTATTGCCGATAGTCGCACCGCTTCTACTAAGGTCTCCGCGGTTCCTAACCATCTCATGCACATTCTCTTCTGCTTCTTTTGCAACTTTAAAAGTTCGCAAATCTTTGCGGCAGTTTGTCGACTATTCCTTTCGTGCTTGCCAACAACGCTATCCCCAGTTGAGTTCTCTTCTATTTGTAAACTTAAACTCAGTACAGGACCGCGAGCAGTCAATCTTAAACATCATAAAAATCAACTTTATAATATTTAAAGTTGGTATTATAAATATATTTATGTATATTAAGAACATAAAAATATGATAAATGTCATTCTTGAGTGTCCAATCACACACTATAGGTCATAACTGTAAGTGACTTGAAAGAAGTTCTAAGTGAAAACAAAGTGTGGTACGACAAGACGAAGAGGCTCTAAACTTAGGTAAATCTGACAGAAGGAAATACGAGGACTTACCCGAAGTATCCAAATGACTGCAGGGGCAAGCAGATGACTCCCAGGAGAGCACCCCAGACCAACCAAGCCAAAACCTCACGGCTCAGCACCATTGTGTCCAAGGTCACAGCTCATCGTTGGTGTATTTCACTCACTTTAGGTTCTAGTTATCAATACTTCATCCGGTTTCCGCTCATTCTTTTAATTGATGCACTCTAATTGATGAACTTCTAATTTGGAACGATAGTCAGCCACTTTTCAAATACGTTCTTCATCCATCCAATGATTGAGCTACATGCGTATCACTCCGCGTGGTAAAATAGTTCGATACTCTCCCAGAAGTGAGTGATACGGTTCTATGACTGAATGTAGGATTACAATGATTTGGTCAATTCAAAAAATATCCCCGCTATAAAAAGACCCAAAGTACATTTTAATCTCAACATTGATACAATATTGCTTCAATACAAACTAACATGTTTGGGAAATCGAAGATCTTTCACAATTGTGAAGTGACTTATCAGCATTGGGTAAAGGTGCCAAGAATTTCAATACAAGTGTGTGTGGCCAAAGACAATAAAATGAGTAATATTTAAAGGTCCAACGTCATTACTTTGAAATCCTTTGACAAGAGGAATTAACTTTTTAGATTTCTTCCACCTACTTAAAACGCATGTAGTTGTGGTTTTATCTATTTTGTTTTTAGGTATATTGAACAAATTGCTAATTTAACTTGATTTTTACACGTGTCTCTAGTGTTGAGATATCAAGCCTGCTTTGAACGGATTATTGCCATGTATAAATGTTGACAAAAGAGCACAGAGATCTGAGGTACCGACATTTGATTGACTCAATGTTTTATGACCATTGAAAACGTCGGGTATACATAAGTAAAAGAGGTTCGGGCCACCCTCATGTCCATTGAGAGAGGTCTCGGTAAATATACAGCCGGCGTTTCTTCAAGAGATTTACATAGAATCTGAGACAATTAGATTAGTCGAGTCATAAAGCATACATGTCGTACAACTCGTAATGACTGGGCTACATTGCTACGATCAAGCCTAGGAATGATTGACACGTAGCGCCTCCTATAGCGTTGCGTCATCTCAATGGTTTTAAAATTTCGCGAATCATATCGCACCAAAACTGTCAACGGGATGAAACGATGAGCAGATTGAATAGTTGAGAATAAAGTTTATAATGAAGTTTACAAACGCTGTCAGTTTATTAGTTTTATTCAAGTAGAACTTTCCCTCTGTACATAATCGCTGACAGTCCTTTCAACAACCAATGATTGATGGTTTTCACAAGAAAATTTTATTTTCACAAACATAAAGAATTTGTTTTAACATCTTTGTCTAAATACTTCAACACATATTTGGACCCTTTTTGAACTTGCTAAAATTCCCATGGTGTATTCGTCCACCTGTTTCAGCGACAATTCCAAATCCTATATGACCGACTTTATGCACCTTAGGTGCGTTTCCTTTTCTCATTTCCATACAATTAAAATAAAATCCATTCATTACATCGCATCCATGTAAACAAGAGATCCAAAAGTTCATTTCTCTTTCTCTCACTTCTATATCTTTAATGAATAAAGTTCCTCTGCCAATTCGCCTGCCAAAATACTCACTTGCTACCCACAATCTGCCTCATTTTTACGTAACACATTCACCATAAATTAATGTATTTACAGCAGTTAGTTAAGATTGTTATTTTCTTGGTTTGGGTAGAAATATCTTCTCCAGGCCCATCATTGGGGATTCGAATAGTAAGGTCAAACCCAGTGCGACGGCATAAGAGGTCACCATATGACCAAAGAACATATAAACCTAAAGAAAAAATAGAAATTTGACATAGCAAAGACATTTATTACAAAAACGTAACATCCATGCATGATACTGTCCATTGAAAAAAGTTGTATGTGATAAAAATCGCCATCCTTCAAACGCTTGCAAATCTATGGATCTGTAGACGTAGAATACTACATTTTATCATCGGCATTACAGTACTCGTGGTACACTCTCTTCAAAGCGGTAATGTAAATAAATATAGATGTCGCATTTTTAATTTCGAATAATGTAATCTGTTTATTCATTGTTGTAGTATTATATTGATCACTACACCGTTTTAGCTGAAACATACTTATCGCATTTATACTATACATGCTTATCATAACGTTCGCATCTCACTGATGGATCCATGGGGCATTAACTGCAGTACACGTAAAACAATATGGCCGCCCGATATTGTACGTTCAAGAAAGATTCGCTATACTGACCATGGTATATTGCGTGGCAAATATAGGCGTCCGTCTGTTATAAACGTATATCCACATCATTGTGGGGTGGATAAGATAGGCAGCGAATGTAAGCCGACTTAGAGGAACCCATCCTCCCCAAGACAGAATCGTGTTCACAATGCCTAATACAAATTTGAAGTTAATATTTGATGCCAAACATTGAGCTTAATCAAACAGTGCAACTTTTGTAGGTTATATAATCACAGGCTGGTATCGAAAAATTTGTCCGCTGTGACGGAGCGTGCTATTTTGCATAGAAACACTAAGAAACACAGACAATTTATTTTTTTACTCATATGTTTCGCTATTCCAAAGAAAATTTCTTACTCCATGCAATGGGTATATCATTTGCGGGTAACTTTAACTTTTGTTTGAAGTCCAACAACGCTAAGAGTAAAAGCTATTGAAAACGGCGCCGGGGTATCATACTCCAAAATGTACCATTTCTTTTATTTCTTTTTAATGGTACAATATAGTGATACGATAATATTTACATGTGTTTTCAGCATAATTCTGAAGGTATTAGTGATATCTTGATGTATTGGGTATTTTTAAATTTTTTTATAAAAAATAATGTTTACATTTTTTGTCAGATAGATGGCAGTTAAAACGCTAACAAAAGTAAACAAAGGCTCCGACGATTATGTCGGTTTACTACTACATTCTGAGTCATAAGTACATTCTAACTGTATAATTCTGAGCATAAATGTGTATGGATTAACGTTACCGATACAATTGTAGCGATATACCTTGATTTATCGCGAATTTTGGACGAAATAAAAACATTCAAGAAATTTTCCTGGATTTGTCAAAGATGGCGACTTTTGATGGAAGTAAGACCTGCCTTGTCGATATGAACGACCTGGACATATGTGTATATCGCTTGCTAACAAACGTGGAGTGTAAACCTAGACATGAAATCACTGAGCAATTGGTGATGGACGTAGATGATAGTCTGTTGATTGAGTCTAGAAGTATATTGTTTGAAATGGCGAAGAACAAATTCTCAAATCAGTGCATGAAGGAATTTGGGCCGATTTCCGCCCGTGGATATGAACAGCTAGAGGATGTTAAACCCAAGAAACGGACTGGCGACAAGAAAAGCATGAGCATCGCTAATGATATTTATGAACTTTACACATACCAAACGGATCTAATCGACGTTTTTCCAAGGTGTGTGTCTTCGCCTACAAGTCACATTCCGGTACTGAAGAAGCGGGGCACACAGCCCCCTACCGCACCCCAAATGGATTTAACACTGAAATTGATGGATTTAACACAACAAGTGAAAGAGATAAGTAAGGAGTTAGCACAAGTAAAGAAAGACTATGAAAGTGATGTTAATAGACTGAACAGAATGGTGAATACACTAAAGATCGAATTAGGTCAACACACATGCGATGTGATTAGCCCTATGTTTTCCAAGCCTAATAGGCTAAGGGCTAATTCTGTTCCGACCAGTTCCACAGTCAACGTAGCCAATTCCCAAACAGCTGTTTGCTCAAAACAACAACAAATAGGTGATACTAACAACAAACCCGAAACTCAAGGTCATTGCAACTCTACCTGTAATACTCAGTGTGCCGACTCAACGCCGACCTCAGGGGCAATGCCCCCTAGTTCGAATACTACATTCAGCTTTATACAGCCAAGCTAGAGGTGTCAAGTATTAACCGGTTAACCGGTTAACCGCCGATAATGCCTTGACCGGTCTGAGTTTTTATGGGCGGTTAGTTGACCGTGTATAATTCTGTTATTTCCCGCGCTTATTTTGCATGCTAATCCGTTTGGTTTTATGGTGTCAGTTTCACGTAAGCTACTCATACATGTCATAAGTCCCATAACTCCTTACAAACATCCAATCAGCAACTTTAATCCCTGCCACATTGCTTTCCCGCGCTTACTTTGCATTTTAATCTGTTTGTTTTTCAAGCGTCAGTTTCATGTGAGCTACTCATACATGTGATAGGTCCGAAAATTCCTTACAAACATCCAATCAGCAACTTTAATCCCTGCCACATTGCTTTCCCGCGCTTACTTAGATAGAATAGCGTAAAGCTTGACGAACGTAAAAAATAAACGCCGATATATCATTTTTCCATTTTTTCAACTTTCAAGATCGAAGATAAAGATTTCATTTGAAATTATAAGTTCAAATTTCCCGCCGGTTAACCGACTTTAACCGGTAAAAACCCCCGGTTAACCGGTTAATGCTCAAGCGGTTAATTGACACCACTAAGCCAAGCACCGTTATTAAGGACACAACTGTGATCGACAAAAACACACGTGAAAACATGAAAACGCCAAAAACTGGAATTAAACCCTCAACGACAGTAGCCATAGGTGATGAATCTAAAGAAGAAACCGATGGGTTCACGTTGGTTGAACGTCGTAGAAAGTCACCTGTCGCCACCGAAAACCGCTTTGGTGAAGAGAGACCGGCGAAAATGCAGACTTTAGGGAAGACCCCGAAGCCCAATAAACCACATGACGTTAAAGAGACGCCTGTTAACAAGCCAATGAAAGGTCTCAAGGGTGCGTCTTTTGAAAGATCGCAATCGCTATACCTCGAAAATATTCAAATGGACGATAATGATACCGATGATGATATTATTGCACTTGTTAAAGAACATGCAAAAAGTAAGGGGATCAAGTTAATGCAAGCATACGTTATCCATAACCGATTCTCGATGTATCGTGTTGGCGTCAGAATGACTGTTCCCGTCTCATCAGCAGATAAGGCTGTTGAAGATGATTCATGGCCTGCCCCGATAAAATGTCGCCAATGGCAGCGCTTCAGGCAGAACGCAAATTATGGTGACAACATTCCCTCCCGTATTACATATAGGTCCAGACGATATCAACATGATAATAACCTTATCGATCGACCGTCATGGGAACGCGATGATGAGAAAACTGACTATTTTAAAGACGACAATATGTACCACAGGAACATGTGTGACGCAACACGGGAGTATGTACGGGAGAAATTCGGCAATAACCTGGGAGCAACAGGTTCTTACGCTGACTGGTAGATAACTGTTTTTTTACTATCGAAACACTGCCCTCATATTTGAGATGCATACCGTGTTTATAGTTTTTTCTCTTTTTAATTAGACTCCAGATGAAAATCTGGAGTCTATTGCTTTTGCCAGTTTTCTTTATTATTAGACTCCAGATTGAAAATCTGGAGTCTATTGTTTTTGCCTGTTTTCTTTATTAGACTCCAGATGAAAATCTGGAGTCTATTGCTTTTGCCAGTTTTCTTTATTATTATTATTATTATTAGACTCCAGATGAAAATCTGGAGTCTATTGCTTTTGCCAGTTTTCTTATTATTATTCTTTCTTCCTCTTCCTCCTTCCCAGATTTCTCACCAACTAGAAGAGCTTACTTTAAGCTGCATACATGATCAACTAGGGAATGTATCTGGGATGATGGGAAATTAGGTCAAATTTTTATCTAGGTCAAAGGTCAAGAACTAGGTCAAATCCAGTACTTTGTCACTTTTTCCCATTATCTCGGTCGTCCTTCAATATTTTTGATCCTGGTTTTTTTCATTGTGTTCCTCATAAAAAAGTAGAAAACCTAGGGTCGATTTAGTTTTTTGGTATCTCAAACCGATTTCGAGATATCAGTGTCCGAAAACGAGGTCCAAAAAAAATTTCACCGAATCCAATGTCCAGGATATCAGTCTTATGGGAAATTTTCTCAGGATTCCGAATCTGAAAACCAAATTTCGATCTGACTTCCGGTTCAGAAGTTATCGCGTTTTGAAAATTCAAAAATCGCTAAATTTGGTGCCCCATGTTAATTCAATGGGAAAAAATATTTTTTTGAAGTGTAAAATACGAGATATAGACTAAGCACAGCTAAACATAATGGAAGCCCATAAAAGAAAGGGACCACAAGACCTTCTTTTCATAAAAATTTGGACACCAAAATGCCTAGGTCAAAATCTAGGTCAAATTCAAAGTTTTTCCTTATTTTTGCGATTCTGACACTACAGATTAATTATATTCTTCGAAAATTTGTGTACATGTAGCCAAGAGTGTGCTAATAGTGTTAGCCTTTTGCCGTCAGGAAGTATTTTGACCCACTTTTGAGATATGGTGTCCGAAAAGTAGGTCAAACTAAAAAGTTCTCCAAATTTAACGTATGAGTTATGAATTAAGGGTAGAATTTTCTCAGGAATCCAAATCTGCAAACCAAATTTCAATTTGGCTTTTGGTTTGGAATTTATGTCGTTTTGATAGCTCAAAAATCGCTAAATTTGGTGCCCCATGTTATGGCAATGGGAAAAAAGATTTTTTTGAAGTGTAAAATACAAGATATAGACTGAGTACAGCTTAATTTAATGAAAGCCTATTAAAGAAGGGGACCTCGAAGGCTACTTAGCTCCAAAATGTGGACACCAAAATGCCTAGGTCAAAATCTAGGTCAAATTTATAGTTTTCCCTTATTTTTGCGATTCTGACACTATATTTAAATGATTTGATTTAAAATTTTGTATACAGGTAGCAAAGAGTATGCTTATAGTGTTAGCGTTTTGCCGTCAGAAAGTATTTTGACCCACTTTTGAGATATGGTGTCCAAAAAGTAGGCCAAAGTAAAAAGTTTTCCAAATTTAACGTATGAGTTATGAATTAAGGGTAGAATTTTCTCAGAAATCTAGATCTGCAAACCAAATTTCGATCCGACTACTTGTTCTGAAGTAATGGTGTTTTGAGATCTCAAAAATCGCTAAATTTGGTGCCCCATGTTAAATCAATGGGACCGAATAATTTTTTGAAGTGTAAAAATACGAGATATAGAATGAGTACAGCTAAACATAATGAAAGCCCATAGAAGAATGGGACCTCAAAACCTACTTTACTTCAAAGTTTGGACACCAAAATACCTAGTTTAAAAAATCTAGGTCAAATTCATAGTTTTTTCTTATTTTGCGATTCTGATACTACACTTCAATGATATTCTCCGAAATTTTGTATACTTGTAGCAAAAATTGCAATCCGACCCCCGGTTTAGATTCTACGCCATTTTGAAGTTTGAAATTCGCACTTGCCAGTATTCACGATGCAGATTGATCAAATATATTTTCAAAAATTCCTGCATACCCTACTTTACCTCTCTACCTACTCAGCTACTTATTTGACTACTTACTCAATTACTTAATTAGTTATTACTTACTTAGCAACTTACTCAGCTACTAACTCAGGTACTTACTCAGCTACTTACTCAGCTACCTACTCAGCTTTTTACTCAGTTACTTACTCAGCTACTTACTCAACTACTACTAAGGTACTTACTCAGCTAATTACTCAGTTACTTACTCAGCTCTTTACTGATCTATCTAGGTAAAATAAATCTGGAGTCTTAAATTGAACTTGTTCAATTTCACAAATCTAGTTATTCTTCTTCTTCTTCCTCCTTCCCAGATTTCTCACCAACTAGAAGAGCTTACTTTAAGCTGCTTACATGATTAACTAGGGAATGTATCTGGCTTTCTGGGAAATGAGGTCAAATTTTTATCTAGGTCAAAGGTCAAGAACTAGGTCAAATCCAGTACTTTGTCACTTTTTCCCATTATCTCGGTCGTCCTTCAATATTTTTGATCCTGGTTTTTTTCATTGTGTTCCTCATAAAAAAGTAGAAAACCTAGGGTCGATTTAGTTTTTTGGTATCTCAAACCGATTTCGAGATATCAGTGTCCGAAAACGAGGTCCAAAAAAAATTTCACCGAATCCAATGTCCAGGATATCAGTCTTATGGGAAATCTTCTCAGGATTCCGAATATGAAAACCAAATTTCGATCTGACTACCGGTTCAGAAGTTATGGCGTTTTGAAAATTCAAAAATCGCTAAATTTGGTGCCCCATGTTAATTCAATGGGAAAAAATATTTTTTTGAAGTGTAAAATACGAGATATAGACTAAGCACAGCTAAACATAATGGAAGCCCATAAAAGAAAGGGACCACAAGACCTTCTTTTCATAAAAATTTGGACACCAAAATGCCTAGGTCAAAATCTAGGTCAAATTCAAAGTTTTTCCTTATTTTTGCAATTCTGACACTACAGATTAATTATATTCTTCGAAAATTTGTGTACATGTAGCCAAGAGTGTGCTTATAGTGTTAGCCTTTTGCCGTCAGGAAGTATTTTGACCCACTTTTGAGATATGGTGTCCGAAAAGTAGGTCAAACTAAAAAGTTCTCCAAATTTAACGTATGAGTTATGAATTAAGGGTAGAATTTTCTCAGGAATCCAAATCTGCAAACTAAATTTCAATCCGGCTTTTGGTTTGGAATTTATGTCGTTTTGATAGCTCAAAAATCGCTAAATTTGGTGCCTATGTTATGGCAATGGGAAAAAAGATTTTTTTGAAGTGTAAAATACAAGATATAGACTGAGTACAGCTTAATTTAATGAAAGCCTATTAAAGAAGGGGACCTCTAAGGCTACTTAGCTCCAAAATTTGGACACCAAAATGCCTAGGTCAAAATCTAGGTCAAATTTATAGTTTTCCCTTATTTTTGCGATTCTGACACTATATTTAAATGATTTGCTTTAAAATTTTGTATACAGGTAGCAAAGAGTATGCTAAAAGTGTTAGCGTTTTGCCGTCAGAAAGTATTTTGACCCACTTTTGAGATATGGTGTCCAAAAAGTAGGCCAAAGTAAAAAGTTTTCCAAAATTAACGTATGAGTTATGAATTAAGGGTAGAATTTTCTCAGAAATCTAGATCTACAAACCAAATTTCGATCCGACTACTTGTTCTGAAGTTATGGCGTTTTGAGATCTCAAAAATCGCTAAATTTGGTGCCCCATGTTAAATCAATGGGACCGAATAATTTTTTGAAGTATAAAAATACGAGATATAGAATGAGTACAGCTAAACATAATGAAAGCCCATAGAAGAAGGGGACCTCAAAAGCTACTTTCCTTCAAAGTTTGGACACCAAAATACCTAGTTTAAAAAATCTAGGTCAAATTCATAGTTTTTTCTTATTTTGCGATTCTGACACTACACTTCAATGATATTCTCCGAAATTTTGTATACTTGTAGCAAAAATTGCAATCCGACCCCCGGTTTAGATTCTACGCCATTTTGAAGTTTGAAATTCGCACTTGCCAGTATTCACGATGCAGATTGATCAAATATACTTTCAAAAATTCCTGCATACCCTACTTTACCTCTCTACCTACTCAGCTACTTATTTGACTACTTACTCAATTACTTAATTAGTTATTACTTACTTAGCAACTTACTCAGCTACTAACTCAGGTACTTACTCAGCTACTTACTCAGCTACCTACTCAGCTTTTTACTCAGTTACTTACTCAGCTACTTACTCAACTACTACTAAGGTACTTACTCAGCTAATTACTCAGTTACTTACTCAGCTCTTTACTGATCTATCTAGGTAAAATAAATCTGGAGTCTTAAATTGAACTTGTTCAATTTCACAAATCTAGTTATTATTATTCTTCTTCCTCCTTCCCAGATTTCTCACCAACTAGAAGAGCTTACTTTAAGCTGCTTACATGATTAACTAGGGAATGTATCTGGCTTTCTGGGAAATTAGGTCAAATTTTTATCTAGGTCAAAGGTCAAGAACTAGGTCAAATCCAGTACTTTGTCACTTTTTCCCATTATCTCGGTCGTCCTTCAATATTTTTGATCCTGGTTTTTTTCATTGTGTTCCTCATAAAAAAGTAGAAAACCTAGGGTCGATTTAGTTTTTTTGGTATCTCAAACCGATTTCGAGATATCAGTGTCCGAAAACGAGGTCCAAAAAAAATTTCACCGAATCCAATGTCCGGGATATCAGTCTTATAGGAAATTTTCTCAGGATTCCGAATCTGAAAACCAAATTTCGATCTGACTTCCGGTTCAGAAGTTATGGCGTTTTGAAAATTCAAAATCGCTAAATTTGGTGCCCCATGTTAATTCAATGGGAAAAAATATTTTTTTGAAGTGTAAAATACGAGATATAGACTAAGCACAGCTAAACATAATGGAAGCCCATAAAAGAAAGGGACCACAAGACCTTCTTTTCATAAAAATTTGGACACCAAAATGCCTAGGTCAAAATCTAGGTCAAATTCAAAGTTTTTCCTTATTTTTGCGATTCTGACACTACAGATTAATTATATTCTTCGAAAATTTGTATACATGTAGCCAAGAGTGTGCTAATAGTGTTAGCCTTTTGCCGTCAGAAAGTATTTTGACCCACTTTTGAGATATGGTGTCCGAAAAGTAGGTCAAACTAAAAAGTTCTCCAAATTTAACGTATGAGTTTTGAATTAGGGGT